GTAACGGTTGATGAACGACAGGCGGGAGTGGAGAGAGATGTCAGCGGTAGATAGGGATGAAACACTGGCCGCATTGTGTGGCACACGATCACAATTCCTTTCCGTGATCCACGCCGAAGCCACGTTGGTGCCACTCTGTAGAACCTAGTCGGCACATTCGATATATAGAAAACAGTCAGTGAATCACGGCGAGGGAGGAAAGAGTGATTTTTTGTTGCAGTGGCTAGCAGTTAACGTGGGCGCGTGTACATAAACGAAAAATGCATTGTCACTGCGCCCCAATGGGTCATTCTGTGCATAATTATCTTATTACGAGTCGCCAGTGACCTTATAATATTTGTTGTTATAGAGACTAAAGTAGTAGCTTAATCTGAAATTGTTTTTTTCTTTAACATGAATCTGGAATTCGAACTTTAGATAGACGGCGTGCTTTTGCCCTATATCAACGAAAAATCAACGTTGTGCGTTTCTGGTTTTAGGGTTGGGGAGTGTTCGCACACTATAGCATAATATACGAGTGGTCTGTTATCTATAGGGAACTCGAGCTTGCCTGCTATTCGTAGGGGGTGCACTTTTCCATGGGCCACTTACAAGAGATTGTGTTGATGAAAAGAAAGGTCTTCGGAAAATCTAGTTATACTCGTGAATTTTCGAACAGGTATCACCTGTTTGTCGTCAGGCTAAATTAAAAGTGAGGGCTGGAAATCTTTCACTAGAGGTTTTTGGAGTAGAAGTTACATTCGACTGGGATGGGGTAAGGAGTGGGGAGTTATGGTAACGTGAATCCTGCGGCGATTGGTTTTGCAGTTGAGGGGGAGGTGTTGACGTTTGGATTGTGGACTACGTGTTCGGGGGATATGTATTAATATCTAAAAAACTTCAATAGACCCCTTGTGGATTTCGAGCAGAAGCGGGTCTGAAGCATTTAAGGCGACAACTTTGGAGGGTAAAATAATTGTAGACGTGAATCTCAACTATTCACCCACTGCTGAGCTAAAGTGGATTCTACTTTCAGTTTTAATGACTTTCAGCAGAAGCGCTGCTAATCATGGTCTTGTGTCAATGCAAATTATTTAATAGACCCCCTTAGCGCACAAATTTTGAGGCCTTTGAGCCTCTGGAGGACTCCGCAATCTAGCAAAAAGGGATGATCGGTCAGTGATGGTAATTATCTGATTCATACAGCTCTAATCATGTTGGATCTTGTTTGCCTAGTTGGTGTCACGGTTTGTATCTCTCCACGCGTCCGGATCTATGGCAGCAAATCTGACCAGTTCGCCCCATTTTCTTCTCCAGCGGTGGACACTGAATACTGAAGGTCCAAAAACCATTTGGCGAACTGTATCATGCCAGGTTTTTAGTTGACCTTCGCTTGACACCCGTTGGGTGGACAACGAAAAGGGCAGCATCTCAGAGCTCGTGAGGCAGATGACGAAGGATGTGCCTAAACCACCCAATCATCTTTATTGCATGGCTTGCTATATTTTTACGATAATTTCCCGCCAATTGCAGACAGTCGCAATTATGACGAAGTCATTCGACGAATTGTCCTCAGGCAGTGGTGCTCAAATGCCTCCACTTTTCGTTCATCTTCCACACTCAGAGCCCAGCAGTCACAAATCTAAAGGTGGACTGACCGTACATGGTACATATTACACGCGAATGTGGGTTCTAGTACGTCAAGAGTACAGAGGTGAAGCTATACATTTATACCATCCATAAAATATAGATGGTAGAAATCCCAGCCTAGTTTATCTGCCGGTCGTTTAGAGGTGGTCGGTAATTAAAGGCTTGCTAAAAGTTGGCCGACACTGCGACCACGTGTACTGCACTCCCCCCATCAGTGCCTGTGATCACGAATGACTCATAGTGTAGACCTCAGAACCAGCCAAATCAACATTGGTGATGGCCGAGCTATTGAGATGGTCATGCCTAATACAAATGTGTGTCCAAATCACAAAAATTATCAAGAGTGTCCGAGGGCGACACAGAATTAATGGTCTTTTTCGGCTCTCTAGAGTAAATGACAGAAACACTTAAAAACTCCATTCAAACGGTACAGGTATATATAAACTGTAGTTAAGTTGCAAAAAAATAACTGGCAGTTTTGTTTTGCGAGATACAATAAACACTCACTGAAGATTTAATATAACAAAACTTGCGACATTTGTGAAATAATAGCATATAATACTGCTCATTGCATTTGCACCATTAAATTTTCATCCTTTTCAAAGTTGAAGCAAACAAAACAATCTAATGCAATCAAGAGAGTAGTATGTTTATATTTAGCCCCTAATCCGTAGATAAGATGTTGCAAGTTCGGGCTGACCGTTTACGGATTATTATCCAGGCGTCTTTTGAACACACTCATAGTGGGGAGATAAACAACATGTGTTGGTAAAAAGTTCCATTGATTAATTATTCACTAAGAGCACACCGAATGCGAAAAAAAGTAGGCTTAGACTTTCCCATTATCGTTGGATGCTTTCACTGTAGCTATTTTTTCCCACAAGTTTTAGAGCATCTATCCACCACGGAAGTTCTGCCATTCCAGTTTCTCCTTCCGCTTCAACAGTCAGCCGGCGGGACTTGGAATGGGCGGTGACAAACAGGTCCGTCCATAGAAGCAAAGAGGCGAGTTCTAGGAAACAATCCAGAAGAAGATGAGGATGCGATCGCTGGTACATAAAGTTTATTGACCTGACGTTTTGGCTTCTTCGTTGAGCCCATCATGACGAAGGCACAAAGACTACAGTATTCATGGGACGTAGATGCCATGTAGCCACATGCCTACTCCAGTTAGCAGATCTTACATTCATCGGTGGTGGTCGTAAATTTTGTCGCATCATATGCCCCTTCAGCACCATTATCTGCGACTGTTTCCGATTATGGGTTCGACGGAGAATCCGAAACGTCAGGCCAGTAAACGTAATGTTATGGCGATTGCATCTTATTCTTCTTCCAACCAGGTCTGTGCCAGAAACCTTCATTCTGTCCGTATTAGCTCCATCACGTGTGTTTAGTCTGGCTGATAGTTCTGATAACATGTCTTAGGGACTTTATATTTTTCCCGCTTTCATGTGAATTGTCTTCCAATAGGTTCCCTGTCTCATGAAATACCCATTGAAATTCCGAATTATTTTTCGATTTGAAAAATAATACTTGAGTGGGTTTTTGTACTGATCATCGTACAAACGAATGCCATAATATTTCAGTAACGCCAGATTGCCGGCCTTTGAAAGAGTATTCATAATTGCCTGCAAAGAGTATATACCGTAAAAAAAATGGCTATTTAAGAAGCATGCTTTTTATCATTAATTTTAAATGCCCTTGTAGGTTCGAGTATATTTTATACAAAGTATGCATATTATATTGCATTCGTTTGATGGGAAATTATACCTTATTCGGATCTTATTCTTGAAGAAAGGGTATATTTCGGTTTGTAAAAAAGTTTTCATCGTGATATTTTTTACGAACATGACATTTTCATTCATAGTACGCAGTATCCGTCAATTTGTTAATATTGCCTATAGTGTGTCCAACCTGATCAACCTCCATTGTACAAGTTTATGAGAAATCTGTTATCTCTTCCTCATACCCTAACGGAATGCGTACCTTTCCTTAGGCAGAATGGATGCAGCATTTGATTTTGAAACCTTAACCTTAAGTGTAATGGTCAGTAGGGTCCACATTATTTGCAAATTTATAAACTTTTTAACGGCAAACGATACCCTCTTTTAGTTTACTGTTCGAAGAACGCATAATTGGTTGCCAATCATGTCGAAAAAATGTTTTCATGCATGCTTTCAATAAAATATATTAAAATTTATAATGGGCATCGAAAATCAATAAAGATGTATTCTTCCTAAGTTAATTTTTTTTCCAGAGCATACATTTTGCAGGTGGTCAGAAAGACACTCCTTCAAAAGCCGGCATCCTGGCGTGACTGATATATCTTGAAATTAGGCTGCACAATACTCAGTATAACAACCTTGCGCAAGAAATTTGTTCGAATCGAAACACATTTCAGGGTTTCGGTTGACGTTTCACGAGCTAGGGAATCTACTGTAAAGGAGAGAAACAAAAAGGGGGTACTTATTTAAATCTCGTGTCATATCTGACTTACCAAATCATGCATGCTGGTCGCCGTCCTTAACCGTATCTCTTCCCAAACTTGCTCACTCTGCCTTCCCGCTCTTCTCATTGCAAGATGACCTCTTCCACGATTATTGTCCCTTTTACCGCTGTCGCACATATTTGGTAATTCATAATATTCATTCTATGTGGTGCAGGATAAAGCCAATGCCCTCGGGTGGTGCACCACTTGCGGTTGGATATGACGGGCTGGTGACGGCTAATTAGCCAAAAATAGCCATTCCAGTCCCTTTCATGTTTGCCGGTAATGTTTAAACAACAATGCCGTTTTCGCCCGACAACCTTCCTAGCTTCTTTAAGAAAGTTGACGTGACTCCTTCTAAATCATTTGGTCTTAGCCGAATAACCGCCTTCCTAGTTGTAGGACAGATTCTACTGTGCTTGCATGTTAAGTCGAAACGATTTCTACAACATTCCTTCTATATTTTTCTTCGATAGGCTCTTTTTGTATTCAAAGTGGGCCACAGTGTCCACCGCAAATCGAAGCCCACCATCACCAAGACCCATCATTGGCGTTGCTATGTCGAGAGCTGGAACAAGAAATACCCACTTTCGGCCTTTGTTGAAAAGGTCACTTTCAAACTGCATGACACCTTCGAGAATCCCAAACAAAGTAAGAAAACACACCGCTTTATTTGATGTCGCTCTGTCACCCAAATTGCATTTCTTCGGGCTCAGTTTTTCCTTGATCTTGCAGGATAGATGTATGCATATCGAGGCCTGTCGTGTCACTGGCAGACTTTTGACTTCCGGCACAAAGACATATTGTTACACTGTATAACTGTTGTTATTTCCAAATTGACACTCCCCTGATGGTCATTAGTGAGTCCGAAATTGCTATCGTAATCTCCCTCATGTAGTCCCTAATTAAAAGTGCCGTCATCACCAACATCACCAATACCACTACCACTATCACCAATGCTACCACCATCGCCGCCAACGCCTCTACCATCAACATCACCCTGCCAACACCATCTCCACCAACACAACCACTTCCACCATCGTCACCACAACTACAACCACCAACACCACTACTTCCACCGCCGCTGCCACCAACGCCACCATCACCAACCCCACTACCATCGCCACCACCATCAACAGCACTATCACCACCAACAACGCCACTAGAAACATGATCGCCATCAACACCACAACTACCGAGAATTCGACTGTTGTGTTTCGAAAATATCTACTGCTTGTTTCAGGCAGGCTGGAAACAAGCGCGGTGATTTGCCTTAGTGTTAGACTATACCGCTAACAGACGCGCTGCAGCTACCGCACTCCCTCTTCCATCTGGGCCCTGTGTCATGAGACAGTCAAGATGATCTGAAGTAGGACGGGGTGCTGATGGTCGACAGGACGAAAGACCGCACCTAAACGCAAAATCCAGCTAAAAACAAACATTTGATTAGGATTTAACCACAATAACCAGAGAATAGGCATAGCGGCACGGATTCCAGCGTCCCAATGCATCCTGTCATACATCAGTTAGTCATAGGTTACACTTCGCCAGGATTTTGCACAACATGAAGAGGATAGAGGCAACGGAATCACCACAACCACCACTTCTAGTGTCGTTGTTGCTTCTTCCGCTAATACTACTATTATTATTACTATTTCTGTACCGTCAGTGCCTTACACGTGATGGCTACGGAATACTTTTCTTTTAGATAGTTTATCCTCTACTGAACCAAAAGTTTGTTGTCTTCCTCACTGGCTTTGTATAATCCAGTCTCTTCTATTTGTATTTAGTTGTTCGCAAGGCTCCCTTCGCCATTGAGGAAGATGGATTTGGCAACTTCCAACTTCTGATCGAAGTCAATTTCCTTGACTTGGTCACTACCTTCACCTATGACATTACACTCTTTGAGCGCAGTGAACTGCACGCCTATCGAACTGTTCGTCTGGACACCGCCCCGGAGGACTGGCCACGGTTTACCCGTTTGGGCGGAGTGAGTTTTTTGGGTCTATTGATTGTATTTTGATTCGTCTGTGTTTGCCTATATGCATGCGTCAGACTGCAATGGTTATTTCTTAGCGTAACCTCTGTGGCGCTACTACTCACTGAGCTCCCAGTCAGATGTGACGACTCGCTTAGCGAAGGTTTTGGCCGCACCAGCCGTCTACGCTCTCTCCCGCTTCCAATACTCTTGATTTAGTCACGGTGTCATGCTCGGGTGGCGGAGAAAGGTGCGGCGTACTAATACTTGTACTGGTTACGGCTGTGATCATACCTGATCTAGGCGGCCTCAATGGTGTCACTGACGGTACCTCTCCATGCGTGACGATTGGCGGCAGCGGATCTGGAGAGCTCCCCTCTTCTCCAGCGACAGAGACCAAACATAGGAGGTTCAAGAACTGCTTCCATGTCTTTATGGACGCTGTCGAGCCAAGTCTTCAGTTGCCATAGTCTTCGACGCCTCCAGGTGGGCTGCGGCGCCTGATCGAGGGCAGCATACCTAAACTCGTGGGGCTTTTCTTGAATGGCCTGAGATATCTTCGTGACGTGATTTCAAAAATGAAAGGCGGGTTACCCGTTAGCCTAGCCACTGGCTACCTGGCACGTCCACAGGTGGTGGATAGTGGCACGGCCTTCGACAAAGATTAGCTGCGAAATAAGCAAGCTCCCAAGTCTGGCTACTACTAGTACTGCTACTACTAATCCCCTCCCCATCGTCCATCACCACCACCTCCACCACTACTACAAATACTACTGCTGCTACAACTATTACAAATACAACTACTGCTGTTAATACCATTACTACTACCAAAACGACTACCACTATCACTGCTAGCTTACACGCACGTCACCGTTCCTGCACCGTCATGCTATGGGGCACACAATGGAACTCATCGGAATCGATGGTCAAAGTGTCGTTGTGTGTTTGTGGCTCGTGTGTTAGGCTCGTTTATATTTTTACGTGTACAGTAAATAGCTTACTAATGAAATCTAATGAATTTCACAAGGATGGGAACCGCATGCAGAAATGCTGGCTGTTGTCTTAGAAATTAGATTATAGTTGCAGACTGAAAAAAGAACGTTTTCTGATACTTTTCTTATTAAAAAAGCTTGATGGGGCATTTTCCTGGAGCAGTTCAAATTCCTGCATTCTTTTCCTAATTATTTTCATTGACAACGTTTTCGGATGTTCCTTATGAACAGTCTCGCTAATGCTTGAAATGCTTGCTAACGCCTCGCGCAGTGCACTTTCTGTTGCAAGTTGCTGTATTTGTTTGAAGTCAACTGCAGGTCGAAGTTGTCTAGACATCTTTCTCGTACGGTGTGACAACGAAAAGTGGCAGCACATCGCGGATCCTCATATATACCACGTGATTGGTTGATATACCACCACGATTTACATTTACTGTACTATCCCCCCACCGTAGGCGGATCTTTTGCGCGTCCGTTAATAGTCAGCGCATCAGCTCCCTCGCTACTACTTATTGGCTGCCCGATCGAGTCAGACTATGGTTCACTGCTGGCTGCCATTCCAGCGAGAAGACAGCGCTTTAGCAATCGCCTCAAAAGCTGAATATTAGTAGCCAATTCACTGAAAAGCTGTGTGCATCCCCTTCAGGTTGGCTATTGTTCTGTCCAATCCGCTGCAAGCGAAAGTTCTGGAAGAGCTGAGCAATCGATCGTAGACATGACCATCTGTCGGATATTTTCTTGACATGGACATCTAGTGGAAGCACTGTGGCTGTAGCTAAGACGCTAGCTTGCTGCTATCAGGCAGTCAGCACAAAGGGGAGGCACTTTAGGATACTTGAGGCTAGACAATGGGAAAAGTACACACAAGAGTGTTGATACTTGTGGTGAACTGGAGATGAAATTTGAGCCAAATATCAAAGACATTCACGTCACTAAATACCCGCCATCAGACATAGTATGCCAAGGATGGGGATTGAGGTTGACCCTGGGCACATTCACTTGGTGCGCTATAATCCCGTGGGGCTGGTATCCTCCCTGACTACTCGAAGGATACTACCTGTCCTAAAGTGTTCTGTTGATCCTTCCCGTCATCGGACTCCACCAGAGATCCCCGATGACTACAGGTTGTCGGAAAATACATCGATATAGAGGGAAGTAGTCGAGTGCCTACCAATCATAGCTAACAAATTATTTAGCATAACAGCACACTTAGGTAGCACAGAAAATGTATTTTTCTTTTGCTTCATTTATGGCAAAGTCCTGAGTGACAGGCGTACTTGGGATGTCTGAATTGTACTAATTAACCGCCCTCTCCTGAAAGAAGTGATAATAACTATCAATCTGGGTCTGGGAAACACCATATGCTTACTAATGAGTAACATATTTTATCTAATTACCTCATGCAGTGTCTGATAAATACTGGGGGTGAAGAAACCCGGACATATGCCTATCAGCCTCTGCGGTGGGATGACTAATCCTCCTAATAGTCTTCGTTGGAAAATTTAAAAGAATGCTTAACTGGACAGGCTGATTTACCGAGCCTGTCGGGAATTAACCGGTGCCTGTGATAATTGCTTGAATTTCTTACTCTTTTGAGGTTATACCTAACTAAAACCGAGTCGTTCGGTCTGGGTAATGACGCAATAACTCATAAGTCGTGCGGAGATCA